ATTGATAAAATAGTATTTTGAGTTGGTTATGTTTTGTTTTGAAGTCAACAAACTTGTGTTGAAAAATGGTAGCAAATGATGGCTTGTTTTGTACAAGACTTTAGTTGAACATGGACGAAGAAAACACTACACCACTGGCAAGTCACCCATGTTACCCAATACAATAGTGAATATAGTGGTAGTACGTGTAGAGGGAACCTCACGTCAGAGCACCGTACGGTGAGTGGTTGTGAAAAATAATTTTGATATCATTTAGTGGAGAAAGAGCCTCACTATCAACCATGGACATCACCGCCCTACTGCCTTTCTGCTTAAAACCCAATGACTTGCAGCATGAAATAAAGGAGATTTTACTACCAACTGGAACATCGGGCTATTTTCAGCGGTCTCTCCCACTATATGAAAGATAGTTTGCATATTAATCAGTATCACTTCACACGAGGAGTCGAACCGTTCAGTAGTATGACTGAACCGTCCTTAGAAAGCGCGCCACTTGTGGGCGACGTCGAATCGGCAAAGCAGGTTTTCACTAAGAAGGCAGCTGGACCGGGAAAAGATAAGCTTTCTTCCTCTCCTAAGCAACCTTCATTTCCAACCTCAGTTGCTGCAACTCAAGGATCGTCGGGCATATCCATCTCTTCGCAACGCGTGCCGTCTTCTAAGCGAACGAATTCAGCTACCGGCGAACAAGCCGCTAGCGGTGAACAACAGGTGAGCTAACTCTAGTTTAATTTGGTCTGACATTTAAGATTGGGTGGTTTTATCTGTTCCTAGGCCGCGGAGATATGGACATAAATGCATGTGTTTCGTATAGGTTACGGACACAGAGTTGGCGGCATAAGAGGTTGTCTTACATAAGGCCACAGAGTTGAAAAGTTATAAAACTTGTCACAGGGTTGACGATTATAATACTTGGGCCACAGGGTTGGTGAATATTTTACGCTATGCTCAATGGCCTTTGTTTCTTTTGTCCTAAATATTAGCCTAATGAGCTTGAAATAAAAAGAGGGTAAAGCTGTTAGAAGAAAGCAACCATCTTTAAAAGAATTGGTTAGCGTTCTTGCTTCCATCGAGTTTTGGAGGCAATTTGCAGGGTCGGATCTGTTGTTTAAGCACTCAAGAAGCTAGAGTTGCTCTTACGCATCCTTCGTGCTAAGCAGCCTCCCTCGTGCAACCAAAACTCGATGGAAGCACGCTAATCAATGACCAATCCTTTATTAATACAAAAAAAATTTTCTTCACCATAACCTTCCTTCCAAAAACTTTTTTGCCCTTCCTTTAGTCCTTCTAGCCTGCCATTCTTCCTTACTTCTTCACTTCCTATTATATTAGCCATTCCTAGAGATAGAGGAAAGAACTGAGTCGTATTGGCATTGCAGTGCATTGTGGGGCTGTTTTAGCAAACATTTTCAAAATGGCATCTATTTTCAGCGGTCTCACTCTGCGAATCAGTAGTCCTTTCACAGTTCCCTGCGCCATCTTGAAAGGTAGCCGTGCCTTTGCATCGAAGCAAGACGAACGGTGAGCCTGCAATGATAGAGACCTTTTTTTAACACCTTGGACAATTATTCACATGTCTTTATCATTGCAAACTCACGTTCGTCTCGCTTCGATGCAGGGAACTGTGAAGGGGACTATTGTCAGCGGTGTCATGCAGAGCGTATGTATGAGATCGCTCAATCTACCTCATTGCACTTCGACACTTTATTGCCACCGATGTCATGGACGCTCAACGTCTTCATGCAAGTGTAGCTGAAGCCCAAGCTGCAGTAGCTGAAAATCAAGTTGATGCTCCAGATAATTCACCTGTACAACAACCTGTTCTTCAACCACATCCTGCTGTGCCTGTCACTGCTCAAACTCCACTCTTGTAGGTAATATCTCCCATTTCTTCAACCTTTTGTACACCTATTTTATCAGTTTTATGTTATCATACACGTGCATTTCTCCTCGGTTTCGAGTGGAGCGTTGGCGGACACAGAGTTTCTTTCGCCTCAACATATTCATGTGTGGCGTGAGATTTTTAGCTTTAGCAATGCAGTAGTTTAATTGGCCTTTTCGCCTCGAGTTGTTCCCGAACGGCGTGATTGATAGTTTTTTGTTTTTTTATTTTTATTTATCTATTTGTTTGTTTCAATCTTTGTGGTTTGCTTTCAACTTCAGCCTTAATTTGAATCGGTATTTTGTTTTCTTTCTTACAAGAATTGTCTTTTCAGTTCTTTCAACGCGCTGTGGTGCTTGATTGGCTAGTAACAAACGTCACTATGTATGTAAGTCCAACAGTTTATTGCTCATTTTCAAGGTATTGTCTTTGATTGCGGTTTTTTAAAAATCATTTAATTGCGGTGGCGCTTCTAGGCCTTTGTACTTCTCTTCCCTGGGGGGTTTAAGTCTTGGTTCATTACGTTTTGTTTTTATGCATACGCACTCTTGTCAATGGTAAGGGCTTTGATTTATTTTGTGTATGTTTAATAAGGCTGAAGCGAGATGACGTTTTACCCCCATCTCTAGACCATAATCCTTTTCACACTGCTTTTGTTCTTTAATTATTTTAAAAACTATTATGTTATAGAGTCAGGGGTAAAACGTCATCTCGCTTCAGGCTTATTAAGGGAATTTTTTCGTTTGCATTTTCGCAACTACAAACGCGCATCAAATGTTTAGAGGATTCCCAGGAGTCAACTGCTGAGAATCTAATAAAAAAGTCACCCGTTATGGTATGCGCCGTGATGAAGACTTTGACAAATACGCAGCACTGGCGTTGGCCGAGCGTTATTTGAGTTTTCTGTATTTCTTCTGATATTCGGGGTACCGTGGTTTGTTTGGTTCTCATTTCCCTCCTCAGATGACGGTCTCGAAAGGAATCTAAATTTCCTTTTCGGATTGACGGGGTCACGGCTGTCATCTCCCGGGGCTATAGTAATTCCTTCCTTTTCAAAGGATTATTTCCCTTTTCACGAGTGGGAATTTACCGAGGATTTTGATCCTTCTTCTGTTTACCTACACACTGTCCGCTGGGTTCGCGCTGATAGCTCAGATCTTCCTCCAGAGTCCAGGGAGATGTCAGCCTTCAATAACCACGTTAGCTCGGGCTTTCTTGAATATGTTTTCAGGGGTCAAACGCTAGCTGGGGCCGGTCTATTGGCATTCAGGGACCCTAACTACTTTTCGCTGCTGGTGGTTTGCATTGTCACCCTGAATCATGGTCGATGTTGTTCTATGAGGGCGAGACTTTACATAGTTTTCGCAGTGGCGCAGCCATAACTCTAGTTTTGTTAGGTCCCCATTTAGCTGACACTATTATGAGTCACGTAGGATGGGCGAACAAGCCCACCGCGCAGTATTACTTGAAAATTGCAGAGGTACTACAGTCTGGAGGTCCATCTGAAGTCTTGTCTTCGCATGAGGACCGTCTGTCTGATGCTGGTATTCGCTACACCAATGTCAACTCCTTCAGAAACTTTATATCCGCGTTTCCAGCTTCTGCTACGTTCAAATCCTTTAAAACGCAGTTTGGCCCCAAAGTTAATATACTATCCCTCAACCGACTTTTAGTTCGGGGCTTCGAGTGTGGGTATGGGTTTTTAGTATGGGTGTAGTTGGGATACTGGGTTTCGTATGACAGCATTCTTGCTGGGTGCGACTGTATTCGCCTATTCTGATCTCGTTTAAGCGCAAAGGAGATCGCTGAGAATAGGATACTATTGAGCACGGCAGACATAAATTTGTTGATTGGTCTTGCTGTGGTATTGACGTATGCTGACGAATACGGTGTTCCGCGAAAAATAGTGTGGGCTCAAGTAAATATCAAAGATGACGGCGTACATGAAATTGTATCATCCGCCATATTTGTTTACTTATGAGCCYGCGCGACTTTTAAGAAAACCGCATGCGCGTCCATACCACAGCAAGACCAATTAATTGAATTATGTACCACAGGAAGACCAATCAACGAATTTATTTCTGTCGTGTTTCCATGAGCAAATATATATGAGAAATAATTAGCATATTAGTCACTTTTCTTCAAACCTGCAGCCGGCTCAACCTCGTTCCCAGAGCCTTCTCCTTCTCTGCAACGATGTTGCAGCCGGTTCGGCAAAGCTCGGAAAGCGAAACAACAAACCACAAGTCTTTTGGTGTCAACTTTTTCAATGCCTTCTCATTCATATTGCCCTCATTATGTATCGTCAAAGCTAACAGGTTAGTCAGAACCGTCCAAAACGCATTTTTGGCATTGTGGCTGACTGCCGAACGCTATGACATTCCAACAGTTCAATTTCGATCTGAGCGGCGAAATAGTTCTGTACATTTGAGTTATGTCGTGGCCTGCAGAACAGACATGATCAGTACTATCTGTAAATTTATCTCAATATTGCCCTGGCTAGCTAGTTTATGGTTTACGGCTTCCTCGCCCCTTGTATAGCTAGTTCAACCACGTTTGTTTGTCTTCTGGTTCTGCTATGCTAATATTCTAATTTCGAAGCTAGCCCATTTACTGTGTGGATACTCGAATCATGAACACTTCAAGGTTTTTTTTTTACATTTCTACTCGAATATATAATCCAATCAGAAGCTAGATTCTAACAGAGGTTTCAAAATTTTTTAGTGCAATTTCAGTCTCTTGGGTTG